TTTTGTGCGACGCCAATCGCTAGAAGATGGTCACTTTAAATTCAGTGAATGTGACACACCTCCTACGAGGATGACGGTACGTCTTGCGACAGGCGCATCCGTAACCGTCATGAAGCGTATAGTGAAGATCCACTATACGCTAGAAGATACCCAATATGACGATGACTTTATCGTATTGGATTTGGATGACAAATTTGATGTCATCCTTGGAATACCGTGGCTCAGAAGGTACGAACCACGGGTAAACTGGCAACATCGGACAGTAACGATGCCTGCCGCTTGTTCATCAGATGGCCATCTGATGAACGTTTTGGAGCGTCCACAAGCGTGTGGATGTACTACGAGTGAGTGCGATGGCCTCACTTGTGGTACGGTCGTTAGTACGACTGCACAAAACCTTAGTGTACCAAACGGTTACACTTCGGAGCAAAGTTCCGGCGGCTGTGAGGAAACACAGGCTGCGCAAGGTCCACCACTCGAATAAGTCGGGTGGACTGGGACAAAGATGTATCCCTAGAGGGGAACATCTAGAAGAGAAACAATCGATCGCTCAGGTTAAGCGAAAAGAAAATCCCTAAATCAATGGGGGGGTTTTTGATGGGGGGTCTCTGTGGTGTGCGCAACCCCAGCTAGAGGAAGTAAAGGGAATAAGTCCCAAGATTACAAATACGGCGGAAATAAGTTCCCCGAAACCCGAGGGAATAAGTCCCCGGGAAGACGAAGGAATAAGTCCTTCGAAGCCTGAGGGAATAAGTCCCCAGGAAATGACAGAGACATTGAATGTCATAGTCAATAACGGATCAAGTGTAGGCGCTTATACACTTGATCTGATTGCGCCTCCGAAGTTGACTTCGGAGATCACTCAGTTGCCAACGCTCGAACATAAAAGGTTCTTGCGTGATCTGCGTAGTGGCAAAGTCAAGCAGATCTGCATACTCGTCGCTGACGACGAGTGTGAAACCGACATAAGGTCAGCAACAGTGTTTACTGAGAACGAGAGAGTTCTCAGTAGTTCATCTATGGACGAGAGTGTCCTAGATGAAAAGACACAAATTGAGCGATATGACTCCCAATCATGGGAATCGCTCAAGGAAAATCCTCTCTATGAAGATTTGGTTGAATTCAAGGATGTATTCCCTGAAACTGTTCCGTGCGAATTACCGAAGGATAAAGGTATTCGACACGAAGTCGAGCTTAAACCAGGCTCGAAGTACTGTGTCATGAAGCAGTGGCCACTGCCTCGTGAACAAGTACTTGCGATCGACAAGTTCTTTGCCGATCGTTTAGCAGCGGGCCATGTGAGGGAATCAACTTCCCCACATAGCTCTCCGACCTTCTGTGTGCGAAAAGCAACAGGAGGGTGGCGGATAGTGCACGCGTTCAACAAATTGAACGCTGCAACGGTACCGGCTCAGACGCCGATACCGAGGAAGGACGTAATCATTGATGGTATGTCAAAGAGTACCATCTTTTCGTCCATGGATTTGATGGATGGCTTCTATCAAATCCTAATGCGGGAACGGGGTATACCCTATACCGCAGTTAGCACGCCTAGCGGCATGCTCTGGGAATGGCTAGTAATGCCACAAGGGCTCAGTAATGCCCCTGCCACGTTCAACAGATGTGTATCACATCTGTTGAGGCCAGTACGAGAATTCGCGCCGAGTTATTTCGATGACGTATTCATCCATAGTCGAGCTATGGATGGAAAGTCGGACGTTGAGGTTCACAGGTACCACGTCCGACAAGTTCTTACAATCATGCGAAAGCATCAATTGTATGCTAACCTCAAGAAGTGCATATTTGCAGCAAGCGAAATACCACTTCTTGGGTGCATCGTTGGTAAGAACGGTGTACGTCCTGATCCCGAAAAGATCAAGGCGATCACCGACTGGCCTGTGCCGGTCGATGTCAAAGGTCTTCGAACATTCCTCGGGCTAGCGGCGTATTTGCATAAGTATTCACGCAATTACGCCGAAATGACTGTGCACCTCTCTCGTTTGTTGAAAAAGAACGAGAGGTGGTTATGGAACGCTGAATGTCAACGCTCCTTTGAGGGTATCAAGCAGAGCTTGATACAATCCCCAGTCCTAGCTATAGCCGATCAGGACAGGCCATTTCATGTGGTCTGTGATGCCAGCGATTCCGCAATCGGCTGTGCATTAATGCAGTACGATCTTGAAGGCGTTGAACGCGTCGTCTGCTATCAGTCGCGTCAGCTGCAACCAGCTGAGCGGAACTATCCAGTGCATGACAAGGAACTCCTTGCCATGAAGTATGCACTCGCGAAGTTCAGAGTCTATCTATTAGGAGATAGACCCTTCGTTGTTTACACTGACCATGCGTCATTACGCACGGCAGTGAACAGCCCGCACCTTTCACAACGAATGGCGCGGTGGTTGTCATTCTTTGCGGAATACAACTTTACGGTCGAGTACAAACCAGGACGACTTAATGTCGTTGCTGATGCACTCTCACGTCGTCCCGACTTTGAAACAGTCGCAAAACCCAACAGTGATACAGTCACTGTTGCGGTAATGACGTCCTCAGTCCCATCTACAACGTTGCATGACGGTGTGAGGCGGGCATACGCCCAAGATGGTGAGATTGTGAAGTTGTTGACACATCTCTCCCAACCATCCCGAGAATCGTTGAAACAATTGTCGCCTGCGTATCGATCTGCATCAGATCGATACACTACTCGTAACGGTTTACTGTATTATACAGCCGTTTCTGGTGACACACCATGTGTTGTCATTCCAGATGATACTGATCTGCGTTTGCGGATCATGTTCGAGTATCACGATGCTCCTATAGGAGGACATCGTGGCCGAGAGAAAACATATCTCACGGTAAGTCGAGACTTTTACTGGCCCCGCCAGTATCAGTTTGTGCGAAAGTATGTTCGCGCATGCGAAGTCTGCCAACGAGTGAAGTCAAGTCCTTCACTGCGTGCACCTTTACAGCCTCTACCGGTTCCGGCTGAGTGCTGGGAATCCATCTCAATGGATTTCGTCTTCGGGTTACCCAAAGACGCACGCGGGAATACGGGTATTCTCGTATTTGTTGACAGATTCAGCAAAATGGTACACCTTGTGGCTGTACCAGAGACAATCACGGCAAGTGGCTGTGCTTGTGTCTTTATTGACACCATATTCCGACTTCATGGGTTGCCTCGTGAACTCGTATCAGACAGAGATCCACGATTCACTGCTGATTTCTGGCGTTCCGTGTTCAAATCACTCGGGACGCGCTTGAAGATGTCAACATCTGATCATCCAGAGTCAGATGGTCAGACGGAACGTGCCAATCGTGTCCTTGAAGAGATACTTCGAGGATACGTACACTCCTTTAAGAGTTGGAGTGAGTTTTTGCCAATGGTAGAGTTTGCCATCAACAACTCGGTGCATGCGTCCACGACACATACACCGTTTTACGTGAATGGCTTGCGCCATCCGCGTGTACCCACCTTACTAGAGTGTAACTCTGGTTTAAGGGGGGAGGGACTCGCGCGAGCAAAAACCGATTTGGTTCACGCTCATCACGCTCTGACGAAGAAGTCATTGCGTTTGATGCCGATATCGATAACATCGATATCGAAGAAGATGATGCCAGTGAGATTGCGGAAGCCCTCACTGAAGAAGATGATCCCAGTGAGAGTGCGGAAGCCCTCACTGAAGAAAAGGTTGTTGTTGCTGCAGTGCGCTCACAGCACACTGAAGCTAACGAGTCATCAGATGAGTTCATACTGGCTCGTGAAACGGTAGTCCGTTTTGTACAAGACTCCATCGCCGAAGCGGTGGATAAGCAAAAGCAAAACGCTGACAAGAATGGAAGGGCAAACACTCTTTTATTTAATAAAGGTGACTTAGTCCTACTGTCTACGGTTAACCTACCAAAGCATGTTGTGACCAACTTGGGTAGTAGTAAACTTCTACCCAAGTACATTGGCCCTTTTCGTGTATTGCACCGCCTAGGCAATGCATACACGATCGAGTTACCACGTAAGATGCGAACGCATCCCACGTTTTACGTTGGTCGGTTTAAGCCGTACCATCAGTACGCTGCTTCTTCCGATGAAGAACGCCCTTGCGCTCAAGCATCTCGCAGAGAGCCTTGTGCTCCCGATGGTATGCATCAACAAGGGTCTGAAGAGCAGTTATCTCAGCCCGAGACCGATCAACAATCCCACGAGCTACCCTTAGTTCGTCACGAAGAGATGTCAGAGATCTCTCGTTCTCAAGCTGAGCAAAGGCAAACTCAGCTCGATGCTTCGAGGCAGTGTCCGCCATTTGGAGACGCCTATTTCGCTCATGCTCGAGATCGTCGCGTAACCCTTGCGTTACGCGATCAAAGAAGCTCTCGGGAACACACCGATCCACATGATCGTGTGGAGAGCGTCTTTCCTCCTCCTCCACCTCCATTAGAGGACTCTCGCGGTGGCCAGCGCTATCTAGTTGAGCAGCTGTTGAACCACCGCGACGTGAACGGACGTCGGACGAGTTATCTCGTCCGGTGGCGCGGCTATCCCCCGTCCTGGGATTCTTGGGAGTCCCGCTCCCAACTGATGATCGACGTACTGGGTCTGGTTGAGCAGTACGACGCGGCACATCCTGTGCCGCAGAAGGACCGCCGGAGAAAGTCTTCCCGGCACGGTCGTAAAGGGATTTCAGGTTGTCAATCCCTTCGTACATCTCAGTAGAGACACGTACGCGCCACCACGGGCTGGTAAGGAGGTAAGCCTCCTTAGGTGCTCGTGCAGAGTTGTTCACACAACATGGGCACGGGTCTCCCCAAGAGAGGCAGGGTAATCCTTTCTCCCTTGACAGACGATGCAGCTTGTAGCGTGCACCTGTCGGGGTTCGCTTTTCAAACTTATCACGAGCTTTGATAAGTTTGTCGTTCCAAGCGTCACGACCTACATCCTCGAGGTTATGGATGTAGGCGTTCCACGCCTGAAGTAGTGAGGGACCATCACGTTTGTGATTCCCACTGTACCATCAATGTCTAAAGAAAGCATCGATGAAGAACTCATGTTCAGCGCGATAGTCTTTCGCGCTGGGGTCAAGGTGATGGATCCTTGACGAATCGAACAATCGTGTTCGATAACGATCACTCGTCGTCGCCGACAAGTGATCCATGACGGATTTAGGAGGTATCCATGCCTTCTTTTCTGGAGCGAGACGCAACACATTGCGGTCCCGCTCTTCCTGCGACGTGCCGACAGAAGTACTGGCACCTCGCTGTGAAGTGGTGTCCATAGGAGAACCGACACCACTAATAGCGCCCGAGTCTCGCGACCTCGAGCGCCTTCGCTTCGGCGATGGTTCATCTGATTCGTCAGATGAACCAAAGATGCTGCGGCGCAAAGCATCGTCCATGCCACGCTTGGCAGGCGGCTTAGATTCAATCGCCGTCGATACGGTTTCGTCATCCGTATCAGGAGAGTACGAGACACCGAGCTCGTACTCTGTGAAGAAACGAGTGTCTTCATGACCAGCGCCTGCATCACCAAGTGACACAGGCTGGGTCGCTTCAGCAACCGATGAGACATCAGTTGCTGTGGTTTCTGCTTCGGCGTCCGCAAAGAGACGTGCAGACGCGCTCTCGGCGGCCTTGCTCGCGCATCGCATGGGCTTGTTAACCATGCGATGAGATGTTGGAAAGTGGACGCGGACCAACAAGTGCAAACCCTGTCCCAAATGATTTGGGACGAGTATCCATTTAGTCAATCAGTCACTAAAGTGACTGATGGTTAAGGGGGGGTGATGTAACGGGGTGAATCGTTACATAACAATTTATAAGAAATTGTTAATTGAATATAACTATAAGAGTTATATTCTCAGAATATTGTCATAAGGACAATTATTCTGTTGCACTTACAAGTAGTTCCTAATTGGTTGATATAGGCCATTATATCAACCAACGAAGACGCGCCACGACAGACGCACGCAATGAGTGGTGAGCAGATAACTGATTTACACATTTGTATTTAGACATAGTTAGATGAAGATAAATAGGGATTTATTGCAGACATTAACTATTATAAATACAGTTCTACTTTTTACTTTAACCAAGTACTCGCTTCTTCTTACCGTCTTCCTCTGCACGTACGAGTGTACGTGAAGTTACGAGGCACCGCCTTATTCTGTTATCAGAACAAGTAGCTTGTACTGTCACCAGTACAAGCTTCAGGGTGCCCCGTTACAGGACGCGTCGATGCGGAGAATGTCAGCAGAAAGGTCGAAATCGACGCACCTGCCCCACCGAGAGGCAGAAGATGGCTTATATGGCCGCTCAGACGTGAGGCACGTGCACAGAAAGGTGATGTCGTCGGTGGCATAGGATTGCTGCAATGTAGTATTTATAGCTCAGGGGTCTGTCTGGTAACAAAACTCCTGTCTTACGACGATTACACACTTACAGGAGGTACTTATAACAAAGGTGAAGTGCATGTAACAAAAAAGTGAGAGACGCCTATAAATTGCCTTGATTTAGAAGACCTGGTCATGCATCTCTTTCAAAGCCTGATGAAGGCCAGGACAAGAATGTACAGAATTAAAACCTGAAAACGTTAGGAAAGTCAAAAGACCGTTTGAAAACTACAATCTAGAAGCCTTTTAGATGAATTTACGGAACCAATCAAAATTTATCAAAACTCTCCAAAAAAGGTGTCATTGTTTAGACAGTTATGTCATTGATAACATTTGATGGACCCAAGACTTGAGCGACGATCAGTGCTACACGTGGTGGTGGTAGCTATATCAAGGCGAATTTGCTCTTATAACTAACTAACTTCAGACATGACAACAGTGCTATAATCGTGAGTGCCCACTTCAACCCAGATCAAGCGTGTGTGTCGTATGTCGTACAAATATGTTTGATATTCACCACGGTGTCGTGCAGGACAATCACAGTATCTTACCAAAATACCTAGCCGACAATAGCCAGCCGAAAATGTAAGAGAGAACGCGTGGACGTTCATTCATCGTCGACACTCCCTTATCATGTGCTTGTGAGTTGCAGCAAATTGAGTTTTCTAGCTCGTACTGCAAGGAGACCGGCAAGCAGGCATTTGAAGCCGCTCAAGACATCCATCCGGCTGGCCTTTTACACGTTAATTTTAATCAAGTAATCGTCGGTCGAAAACAATTTAGACTGCTGTCTAATCTTTTGTTGCCAACGATCATAGAATTGCCAGACCTACGCTTAGGACATCCACACAGTTGTAACGGCTGATTACTTCGTCAAGCAAAAAGCTTGCCTGTCGGTCTTAACCTGCAAACGTCTTAAGTATAGCAACGTGCAGTCATCTTACTGTCCATTTGTTTGCACACCGTGTCAGAACTGTCTAGCAAGTAAGACCTCAAAGCACAAAGCCTAGCCAGTAAAGCACTAGCATAAAATTTGCATCGACTCGATGCGGAGCTTGCAGAGACTTGAGGGTTTTGAAGTGCTTAAGTGATATATTTTAAAAGTAACACGATCTTGGTCATGTGCGCACATAAGTTACAGGTTATCCTTCGACAGAGCAAATCAGACAACGAGTTCGATCAAGTATCTTCGAGATGATTACTTTCGATATAGAATACGATCCGAGACTGGTCGAGAGCTTATCTATGGAAGTCGCGTCCAATGTACCAGCCCTAATTGCAAGTTTTTGTAGCGGGGGAATAGTGGCTGACGGACGTAAATAGATTACATGACGGCTCTCACATTGTCCAGTGTCCTTCAGAATGTAAAGCGTGTCTGGATATGCGGATATGTTCATCTCAGCAGTTTTTTTGAGCGACGAGGTCTATGAGCCGTCGTGTCTTGAAAACGTGTTGCGAATAAACTTTCGCCATCGGGGGCGATTCGAAACTTGTGTGTCAGAGCGGCGATGCTGCAACTGCTCCTTCACGACAGAGCTACGCGAAGTAGTACGCTCTTCAACTGAGTGGCGATTACTTTGCTGCAATATCCGCCAAAGCAAGTCGTTGTCATCGCATATACTATCTGTTGAAGCATGTATGAAGCTTGACCTACCTGAACATGACGCCTTCGATCGGTAGGACCATCGGAGCCGGCTAAGTTTGTTTGTGCCTGCTGCACTATCCTTTTTTGCGGCTGATCCCGTTTGATGTTGTGAGCCTGTTTACCTGTCTTGTTGTCCTCCGTCCACATTTGCTCCAGGTACGACTCGCCTTCAAATCGGCAGCAATTGTTAGCATGTCGACATCAACATCAGCACAAAGCTTCCGCAAGATACCGTTCCAGCGAAAGACTACACCAGTATCGTTCTGCCACTTTGCAATTCGAGTTGCTAAGATGTCAGTGTATTTTGGCAGATCACGCTCAATTCGTAGCCGCGTTTGCTCGTCGGGAACACCATGCCTGTGTGCACAAAGCAGCAAATTAATTTCGCAAATCGTGATGATATATGCCAACATGGCGCATAGGTCGTACTCCGCACGAGCTTGTAGAATTTCCTCGCGTTTGACGATGTACTGTCATCACCCCGGCAGCTTTAGGTAAACAAACAATCCGAGTAGTTTGCAAACGTACCTGACAGAGGATCTTCTTCGTAGACAACTGTTTTCTCAGCCTTTCGCCTTCTTTCTCATGAGCACGGAAGACCCTGTACGACAGCGCCAAGTCTGGAGTTGTCATCATGGCAGTAAAATAATCACGCTGGTCAGAAGTGTAGCCCAGAAGGTTCCAGTATTCAGTAATGGCGTTGCGCAAAGTTGCGACTTGGACCACAGTAGCAGCATGTCGTTTGTGGTGACGCTTCAGTCTTGTCAACTCCGCTTCACACTGCACAGCATATAAAAGTGTTAGCTCATCACAAGAAATAAATAACAATGGATGACCTTACCGATGCAAGTGCAGCTTCGCCAATTCCATGGATCGTCATGTGAAAACGTTTCTGCTCGTCGTCGGAAATCTACAGACAACAATAAATTGCGAGACTGTTTCAGATTAAGTGCAAGTGATCGACGCATCGTTTGACGCTGTATGTGCTACCTTTAACTTCCGCCAGAGATCGCTTATCTGTTCAAGCATCTCTGCCAGACGCAACTTCCGCTTTTTCTTTACCTCTCGCAGCTCGATAGTTCTGAGTGAGATCTTCTCGAGCAGATTGGAGGACAAGTCTCGCTTCTACCGCGCGCCGTATCATATAAGTGCCCAGTTGTTTACACCACCACGGCCCTATGAGCAACTGTGACTTTTTACCAATGCACAGCCCACATTTACCTTCAACTGTGCAGTAAGATCGGGCGCAAGAATGTGATCCGTTTCGATTTGAAGCTCTTGAGCGAGCTCCGCACACTCGCTGACAATTTTTAGAAGGGCAGCTCTCCGTGAGTGCTGGTCAGGTAAAGTCAGACCACATTACAATAAACGATGGCAGAAGCGATTGTGTAACTCACCACTTCTTGTGCCTTGCACTTGAGCATATCGTGTAGAGCTTCCTTGTATTCTTCGCTCAAGATGGCCATGCCAGAAGGCTAGCCACACATACACAATGCAAAAAATAAGCGCTAGGTCACGAATGTGTGTAGAAACTCCAGTCAAAGCTTTCATTTCACACCAGCTCGGATGTCGTGCCTAGCTTCTTGTCCATTCGACCTAGTTGGGCTTGCAACTTTTCAACTCCAGCCTGTCGACTGGTGCGAACCTAGACATTAGCAAGCACAGGTTATTTCTAATTTCGATGAAAGACAGCGAGACACTCAACGTCGTACCCGATCCAGAAGCTTGTGCTCCATTTCAAGTGCTGACAGTCGGTCACGCAGTGTGCCGCTGCTGAGATGTTCCAGCGGCTGCATACACCAGCCTATGGACTACAAGTTTCCATCAAACAGTCAACAATTGAGTCGAGGCGCGCTTCGCTGCGTTCTTAATGTTTTTAAGCTAAGTTGCTGCCCACATCATTGCCCTGAAGCTGCACGTTGATCTTCTGCACCTCTTTCTCAAGCTCCGTCACTCGCTCTTTCGTCATCGTGACTTCGTTCCGCCACGTCTCCACTTTCACTCGACAGCAGGTTTCCACACTCGTAATCAACTGTTGCTGTTCCTGCAGTTGCTCTTGCTCCGATAGTCCAATCATCTGCCATACATCACCCAACTCTGCCAACGCGTCAGCTACAAGTGACTGCACACTTGACTCGACCTTCACATTCATGTCGTTCTGACCAAAAAGGTCGACCTTTGTTTTATTTCTTGTTCGCAACATGCAAGTGAAAGGCAACGTGTGTACCCATCTATCGATCTGACTGTCGGTATCCATCTGAGAATAGCTACATTGCGTCTGCCACACACCGCACGCCGCCTCAATGTCCACTGCCACTGGTTTTTTTTCGGATCCGAGGTTTTTTACGAGATTCATTGGTTGGTGGTCAGCGTCGCACGCGCTCTTCAAGCCTCGCACAAGTCATCGCTCTCTGGAGAGAACAGGCATCACTCATCGCAACTGCAGCATGTCGACGACGCAACGGGAAGAGGACATCAAGATGATGCTGGCCGCGCAGGTCCACATTGGGACGCGCAATGCCGACTCGAAGATGGCCGACTACATCTGGCGTCGTCGCAACGATGGCGTTCATATTATTAACGTGGGCAAGACGTGGGAGAAGCTCATGCTTGCGGCGCGCGTGATCGTGGCCGTGGAGAACCCGGAGGACGTGATTGCGATCTCGGCCCGTCCGTACGGCCAGCGTGCAGTGCTCAAGTTTGCGCAGCACACGGGCTGCCAAGCTATTGCCAGCCGCTTTACGCCTGGTACGTTTACCAATCAGATCACCAAGCAGTTCCGCGAGCCGCGTCTGCTCATTATCACGGACCCGCGCACCGACTCACAGGCCGTGCGTGAGTCGTCGTTTGTAAACGTGCCCGTGATTGCGTTCTGTGACTCGGACTCGCCGTTGCAGTTTGTGGACGTGGCCATCCCAGCCAACAACAAGGGCAAGCTCTCGATCGGTTTGCTGTACTGGCTGCTTGCGCGTGAGGTGCTGCGTCTGCGTGGTACGATCTCTCACTCTTTGCCGTGGGACGTGGTCGTTGACCTGTTCCTGTACCGCGACCCGGAGGAGCTCAAGAAGGCCGAAGAAGCGCAGGCTACTGCAGCTGAAGAGGCCCCAGCTCGCATTGGATGGGGTGAAGCTTCGCAGACTCCTGCTGAGCCGTCGATGTACGCGGCGGAGCCTTCAGTGCCTGTTGCGGGTATTCCTGAGGCGTCTCCGGCTGGCAACTCGGAGTGGTCTGGCGAAGCTGGTGCCGCAGCGAGTAGCTCTAACTGGGACGCTGTGGTCCCTCCTGCTGCGTCCAGCAGCTGGGAATAGGGTGGTCACCGTTCATCCCTTGACGGGCAGTGGATGAGATGGTGCTGAGCCACGTGCTTTGTATGCTGCAAAGTGCTCGTTCTTTTCCGTGACCGAGCAGAGAGAGAGAGAGTGCGTGTGGGTCTTGTAGAATGGAAGTGTTGTCACTGCTGTGCAGAAGCGGATGCATGGAATAGACGACGGTGTTATGCGATGGCACCTGGTTAATGCGACCACTAGCTCCTGCTGATACAGTGTGGCGCCGCTGTTAATACATTTGCAAGTCATGTCACTCCACTCGATAAAGCGTTCCGACTCCCTAATCCTTCCTCTTTTCCCTAATCGAGTCCCTAACCAGGTTCGACGAACCCCTCGCGCGTACTTTGTATACTTCGTGTTAACCACACTATCTTTGGTCACATCCGAAAAAGAACCGTCAAAGATCGAGGCACCACGAGGAGCTAAAAAACCTCAGAAACACTCGTAAAAACACAAACGCTCGCCAACGACGTCATGAGCGGCGACCAGGACGCAGAAGCGGCAGCGAAAGCGGCTCTAGCGACGGCTACAGCCGCTGCCACGCCGTCAAAGACCGAGCAGAAGGAAGGAGAGATCTCGATCGAGGCGACTGTGGCGCCGTCGGAAGCAATTGAGGCCAAGAAGAAGCTTGTACTGAAGCGCAAAGCCAGCAGTGAACAGGTGGTCCCCGTCGAGGCGAAAGCGTGCGCTGTAGAGAGCCCCCGCGCGTCGGTCAAGAAAGGTGGACCGTCCAAACCGGTCGAGGAAGAGGACACCGAGTCGGAGCCGGAGAAGCAGCCGAAGAAGCGCGTGAAAACGAGTAAAAAGGAACCCAAGACTGGTGGTCGTAGGAAGAAGACGCCGCAGTCGGACGACGATGACGACGACGACGTTGATGAAGAGCAAAAGGAGGTGGAGAGGAAGGTTGGTGCGCTGAGTGACGAGATCAAGGGCAGGTTTGGCCAGATTGTCTGGGCCAAAATGGGAGGCTACCCGTATTGGCCGTGTATTATCACGGACCCGAGACTGCTCTCTTCAAAGCTGCAGGAAACCGCTGTGAAAGTGCTGGAGACCAAGTACCTTGTGTTTTTCTACGTCTCGAAGAACTTGTGAGTAGTTGTGAAGCTACTGGGGATCCTATTGTCTGAAGGGATAGAGAAAAGGAAGGGGTGGTGGCGCTCATGTATATTGTCGTTGTCGTTTTTTGTGTGTGTGGTGTGTGTAGTGCTCCTGTTTCGTTTCAAGTGGATTGAAGCGTGGGATGATACTAAGTTCAAGTACCGTGAAGGGTACCCGGAGAAAGACTCGAAGGCGCCTAAGCGACGAGAGAAATTGATGAAGGCCATTGCAGCAGCAGATGTACGTTACCTCGATAGGTGCAGGAGAAGAAGATGTGTAGTCTGATCAAGACTAATGCGTTGTGGTTGCTCTCTGGCGTGTGAGTGAGCAGATAGAGACAAAGCTACCGATTGAGGATCGAGCAAATGGTCTCATGAGACCCGTAGAGAGGGAGAAGCTGGTCGTGACGCCTGTACCGGTCAAGCGGAAGCCTGGCCGACCACCGAAGAACAAGACAGCGGTCAAGACTGCTCCTAAGAAAACACCAAAAAAGCGACAGAAAAAAGACGAGTCAGCAGATGTAAACGACGGCAAAAAAGCTTCTGTGAGTACGCTCGAAGAAGAAGATGATACCACTGGTCCGACACTTAGTAAGGAGGAAATCAAGGCAAAGGTGGCGAGTCGTAAGACGCCGAAGATGAAAGAAGGTGATGGCACTGCCAGTGGTTCCAGGGTATCTGTCAAAAAGACAGTTTCTGTGAAGCATGGAAAATCAAAAGGCTCTGCCGAAATCGATAGTAAACGAAAAAAGGAGATCGAGCTTGTGGTCCCTCATAAGTCCGTAAAGTCAGCCGACATTCGTGAGATGACGGACGAAGCTGCCAAGAAGAAACTGGGTTCTTTGAAGAATAAGACGACGAGTGATAAACGCAAGTACAAGGTGGGCGACCTTGGTTTGTTTGCAAGCAAAATGGCACGGCTACAGGCAAAAGAGTCGGCGCGGAATAATGATGAGCTGGTTGGCATGATGCAAGAGTTGTTCAAGGAAACGCTCATGTATCGTTCAGACGTGGAGCGGTCGGGTCTTGCTGCTATAATTGCGATATTGCGCAAGAGCTTGAGCCCCACTGTTGGGTACACGGCAAGCGCACTGAGAAAGCATATGATCAACATCCTGAGCAGCGATACAGACAGTACAACTGTTTTGGGCAAAAGACCGCACGATGTTACTGAGCAAGGCACGAAGAAGCGAAAGGCTGAAAACGGCAGCCGCTTGAAGGTAGATGAGCCAAAGCAAAAGCCTATGACCGGTTCTTCCTTTTCCGCTATAGCAGACTTGGTCGCCGAAGAACCCTCACCGAATTTTACGACGCTTCCTTCGATAGCAATAACAGCAAAGAAAGCGGAAGGGGCGTCGTCAAAGGGGAGCGCTGTGAAGACGGAGGAAAAGTTGCTCGTCCAGCCTGCTAAAGATGTTGCTGATAAGAATGCACACTTGCGAGACACATTGGCGAGCGCTGAGGAAGTTGCTGAGAAACGCGTATCATCTTTGGACAAGCAATCGATCCTTCCGTCGGTGGTGGTAGATAAGCATGTGAATGGTGCAGCGAAAGACAACGTGGACATGTTTGAAGCGCCAGAACACACGGACAAGAATAGATCGATCTTTGTGGAAATGCTGAGCGAAATTCTTGATCACGACGGGTCGAAGCGTGCGGATCTGGCGAAAGAAATCGAGGTACAATCAGCGCGTGCTTTCTTGTGCTACAGTGCTACTCAGCCGCGACGACGTGTTCTTTCTAATGCGCTGGTGTCTTTGTGGTGCAGGCAGCACTATTTGAGCGATTCAAGGAGAGCAACGACGATTACTTGACTCAAGCGCGTATCATCATATTTGGCCTGAAGGAGAACGCCGCCATGCGAGACCGACTCTTCTCTGGAGCCTTGCACTGCTTGGAATTTGCCTACGCTGACGACGCGGTACGTAAAGAAGTTTCGTTCGTGGGAAGTGCTCTGTTGCAGCTGTACTCATGCTCTTGTCTGTTCTGATGCTTAGTTTTTTTGCAAAACGATCGAGTGAACGGTCATTGCAAGGTGAAGGAAAGAAGAAAGAGTCGCAACAGTTTTCCAGTGCTTGTCTCTTTGTAATGAGCCTGTCTGGTCCTCCTGAACAAGCAAGTGAATAGTCATGACGTCCGATGTATCCATCTTGTTTGTTTCATCATATTTGGTATCAGACACTCATGTACCCTTGACCTCCTCTCGTCGCATCAGAAATATCTGATTCCATCCCATCACAAAATCGCTCTCTAAATTAATATTGTACCCACTAGTCGTCATGGCGCGTGCCAATCTCCTCCTTAGCGCTGAGCTCGAGCGCGCGTTCGCCGACGCACAAAGTGGCAAGTTGCGCTACGTCAAAGTCTCGATCGACGCCGAGTCTTTCGTACTTAGTGCGGTAGGGCCTGCAACTCCAGCTCCTCGGGACGATGTCGCGCACTTGGTTGCGTCGTGTTTAAGCGCCGACGAAGCGGCATTTGTGCTGCTGTGTCCCGATACAAACGTCTCAGCTTTGCGTTGGGTCCTTTTGGCGTTTGTACCGGAGAGTGTGAGTGTGCGGGACCGGATGCTGTATTCGTCCTCCCGTGATTCGCTCAAGAAACAGCTGGGATTGAATTACTTTTCCGGGGAATTCCACGCCACGGAACTGGTACAAACTCTGTTGCTGAGTCTTTTATTCGGTTATTAAGCCTGTTGTTTTATAAAGATAAAGAGGGCAATCGGAATTAATGCTAATCAGGACGATTGCGACTATTGGTATGTGGGTATGTGTCTTTCTGTCTGTGTGTTCATTTGTGGTGCAGAGCGAAGTAACGTGGGAGAATTTTCTAGCGGCGAGGACAAAACATGCGGCCGACGCGCCGCTGTCCGAGTCAGAACGGCTGTTGAAAGAAACGGCCAAGTTGGAGCGGGATACTAACGTCAAGTCGAGTGCCATGGGCGTCGTGCCCTTTGAGATCACGCAGAACGTGCGGGAGAAGCTGAAACTGCTGCAGGACGACAAGTTTGACTGGATTGCCATGGTGACGTGATGAAACGAGAGGCTGCTACTGCTGTTGTTGTTGTTATTACTGTTACTATCGCTGATTAAGGAGAATGGTTGCTGATGACGAGGATGCTGCTGTTGTTTGCTTGTCATGCACTAGAAACTGAGCGACGATAACGTTCGTGTCGAGGTTGTCAAGAGTCTTGAGCACGTCGACCTCATTGACGTGCCCACGGCACTTGATCACCGCACTCCGAGCTTTGTAGCGTATCACTATCGTGGCCCGCTAACGTCGGATGCTTCGTCTGCTTTGAGTATGTTGACCCTTGATCTCTTTGGTCACGTGGTATGCTAATCGTGTTTGTGTGCGATAGTATTTCTGTATGTGTGCCCAGAGGACTCACCAGTGCGTTTGAAAATGGTCTACTCGACATGCAAAGCTACAGTGCTCTCCGTTGCTAGGGAAGAGCTGCACATCACATTTGACCACACTGTGAGCAGCTAGTCTTTGGAAGTTAAACTCGACGGAAGCTGATGATGGTTTCTTGCTTTTCTAGATCGAGATCAATGCTCCTTGCAGTGCAGCCGACGAGATCCGGTCGGTGGTCGCGCCTTCCACCGCTGAGGAGCAGCTGAAGCCGCGAGAGTTTGCACGTCCTGCTGCGCCTGGAGGTCGTGGACGTGGCAGAGGTAGGGGTAGATCGCACGGCCCTGCAGTCGCCCACTAAACATATCGGGGTGTTCCATTCGACCACCAGTGGCCGTCGAATGACCAAGTCCGTGTGTCTACAAACATCAAATCTGACGGCTAAACGGCGCCGTGTTGAATCTCATTGCAAGAGCTTGTGGTCGGGCGTCTCTCACCTGTGATTATTCCTACTCCTATCTCCATTTTCTTTCCAAAGACCTCTTACGCTGCAATCTATCTCCTGCCTTTCTTCTTCCCCTTCTTCTTTCCGCCACTAGAGGGCGTCGTGACTCCGCCAGCAGCAGCTGTTGCTGCCTTAGTTATGGCCTCCTCAGCTTCCTTCTCTAACCGCACCTTGCGGGACTGCAGCTTTGGGATCAAGTCGGCCATCCTGAGCATTAACGCCTTGCGGTTGGGAAGCTCAGGGTTCTCCAGCGAGCCATCCCCACGCACGAGACGCACGCGAATGCGACCAGCCACAAGCCAGTCCCGTGGGTACTTCTTGGTCGGCTCCAGCACGTGTGGCAGCTTCAAGAACGTGCACACTTCTGACATTTCATCAGCAATTGGAGCCTCACAGGCCATCGACTTGGGGATGCGCCGTCCTTGCTGCACCGTTCGCTTGCTGTCCAAGTAGTTGGGGTAAAACGTATAGAACGTCGAGGTAGGACTACCCTCGGCCAGTCCGTAAGCGTAAATAACCGTGGGACGCATAGCATCCATAGGTGGAACCATTCCACCCATTCCGGGCATTCCACCCATTCCGGGCATTCCACCCATTCCCTGCATCATTTCCATCATTTGGGACATATCCGGCATCCCGCCGCCACCGCCACCGGACCCGCCGAACATCCCCATGAGGTCCCCCATGTTGCCCCCATTGGGTTGAGGCCTTGAGTGACTCGAGGGCGGCGGCTGGTTAAGAGATCTGGCGTTCGAGTCATAGCGCTCGCCAGCGACGTTGTCCTTGACGCGGCCCTTCCGCACCATTTCTTCGACACGTCGATGGTGTGCTGTACATTCGGGGCAGGAGCTCTTGGATTCAAAACAGTGACATGGCACGCTACGACAGGTCGATGTCGTTGCGGCCAAAAATAGTGTGGTAGACACCAAACTTTCGAACGGCGACTTGGTTAAACGCTATCAAATACGGCTCGTGCGACAGACGCGGAGACTGATGACGACGAAAAGTGAGATTTTGACTAGTAAAATAAATTGCTCACGCGTTATCTCCTTCGTAGTTTTCGGTACCGTTCGTATTGCACGATTTAAAGCTCGGCTGTAATCAAGCGCGACACTTTGTCTTCCTGCGCTGTGAAGACACACCATTTGTCGCTGACTTTGTCCCTGTCTTGGGCTTCACGATGTCAACAGCTCTCCGTTAAACTCCAAGGTCCGTGATTGAAGGCAGCTTGCCGCTCCTGATCGGTGACCTTATGCAATGCACAAGCTGTGTGTAATCTGACGCTTATCTTTAGGTACGTCCGCTTCTTGTTAAGCAATCACAATGACAGGCCTTGGCTATTGTCTGCCCAAGAACTACGGATCTCGAATTAAATTCAAGTGCAAAGCGTCTAACAAAAAGAAGCCTTCGTAAGTGATGCATACACCATCGAGTTGTCTTCCGGCCAATGACATCAGTTAATAGACAGTAGAAGTGGTAGCATCGTATCTGTAATCTACAGCTGTACTCACTCGCGCAGTGCTCTTGCAACTGATTTCTGCCATTAATTGGTAGCTCAGCCTGCTTTCTTACTTTCGACGAGATGAGGACTGTACACGTCTTAATCAGGTAAACGTTTTGCAATTTAATTGATACGATCGACACCACCATAACTTGTTGTTCACCACGACGGCTGCCAAAAACGTATCCGCCAAAACAACCTTCCTGCCTCCCCCCAAACTCATATGGCGAAATCTACTGCACTCGCTACTAGCAACACTGTTCACACAGCTTTGTACCTACAATTGATCCATCGGATGTGCGAGGTGATCGATGTTTCTTGAATCAAAGCAGAAGGTAGTGCAACCTTTTGCAATGTGCGCGGACGTCCCTAGGCGCTAATGTAACAACCTTGCGGAAATAGCCACAAATACACGTACCTGTTCTTCCTAATGTGACCCGTACTGGTGAGCTAAACAGTCTCACGGATTTAGTACTGTTGTTGTAGTTGTTTGGAAAATCGGTATGGCTTTCCCACGTTAACACTGCAGCTGATCTTGTCGGTGGTTATACGATTGTGAAATGATGATTATCGCGGACAGAGCATCCGTCGTTGTTAGAGGCTGTATGCTTTGTACCTGGTCGCAAGTGCATAATGGATAACAGCGCCTGATCGATTGGAATCTTAACTTAACCCTGATGTTGCTCCTATCTACCTTCAGTCGCTCCAATCATTAGCAAAGTCATTTTGAAATGGATTCGAATTGGTTCGTTGAAAGTTTGAAAGGCTAATATTCCGGCAGATTTTGTACAACTTAAATTGAAGTTACTCTTCCTGATGCTTTTTGTCGACACGTTCCAACGCCCTGGCTTTTCATTTGATCCGTTGACATCTCCGCCTTTCCACAAGAGTGTCATGATCAGCAGCATATGCTTAAAGTGCGATAAAAATGTGGCGGGTCACTCGTGACCTACACGTGTACACACTTGCTCTCGATGGCGAGTTTCTGTATCTGAGATTGCCAATACTTTGTTGCTTTGTACCTTCTCGTGGTGATCCGGAGCACCTATGCTCATTCGTACTCCTTTAAAATGCTGTAGTCAAGATAAGGCATGTTCGTCACTTCAGTGCGTGCTTTGTGTAAACTCGCTGCATGGGATCCATCTGCTGATCGAAATTATCGACAGTAAGTGGCGCTAACTGATCACAGATATTATGGGCACCATTCTATCCCATAGCGGATTCCAACAAGATGGCATGTACATTGTACTCAGTCGCAGTTGTTTTGCTTCCAACCTGCAACTTGTACTTGCCAATGACCAGATTCTTGGAACCAATACGTCGACTTTGGACAAATTTTTGGTGCTAAGAGTAAAGTATCCACTGGCAAGTTGTCCACGTATTACTTCGCGAAGTATCATAGCTGGGAGAAGATCAGAATTGAAGCTTACTTACCCCTATATCTAGTGCACGCCTTCTTTTGCGTGTATCACCAGCATCATAGCCTACTGTTGTACGCGTACACCACTTGATGTCTTTTTGTTGATACTGGGAAGCGTAGGCAAGCTGCAGGGGTGGTGAGGGGGGATTAGAAAGGGGTCATTGTGCTGCTTGGATCTTGAGAATGTCTGCAAATTACAGTCATCGAATCACTTACGATAGTCATACGCTGTGGCATCTGACAAATCTGTTTCGCGTGACTGTCCGCAAAGCATGATTTAACAATCAGTACACTAACTGTGGGGGGGTTGACCCGAGAAAAGAAAGGAGCTGTTGTTTATCACTTGCCAAATTGGCTAATACCAATCAACAATATCGATGCCATGCCGAGCAACTGGTGAGAGAGTATTCGCGATAACATTGGCGCAGACTAACATTGCGTCGACTTGATTGCGACTGAGCCATCAACTTTCCACTATTGACAACTCTGATCAGAAGATTGACGATCACCTGACAAGATAGAGCAGCGAAATGTAGTGTCTGTCTTACTTGTTGAGGTAGACGAGTGGTATTTCAGGACCCCTTTCTGAAACCCAATAGCGTAATTGCTTACCAAGCGACAAGACAGGCGCATTGTATGGTGGCAATGAACTGCAGCACAATATAGACAGCCATGGTTACGGTTCTTCACGAAACGTATGGCGCTGACTTTGGTCGGATTTCAAGGTCCGTCTACCATGAGGCAACCACTACGTTTCTAATGCGAATCAGGTTGTAGAAATACGTCTATCGGAACTGTATCGCTTATCTGAAAGGTCCAAATTTGAAAGATCCATTGCACGGATGCAACTGTAACGTACTCACTGAACACAACTGACAACGTCAAGTCTCCTGGTTTCTGTCATGGAGCATTACCACATCTTGGAGCGTATCGGAGAAGGGTCCTTCGGCAAGGTCTACCGAGGGCGACGTAAATACTCTGGGCACATTGTCGCGCTCAAATTTGTGTCCAAGCAAGGCAAATCTGTGCGAGATCTTGACAATCTTCGACAAGAAGTAGGATTTATGATTGCACCAAATGAGTTTTAGAAGTCGCGATAGAATCTCCACTGACTTTAGTACTCTTCAGATTCGCATCCTTCAGCAGATGAACCATTGCAATATTATTGCAATAATGGACTCATTCGAAACCAATCGGGAGTTCTGTATGGTCACGGAATATGCCCAAGGAGAACTCTACCAGGTGTTAAAAGACGAACAAAGTCTGTCGGAATGCGAGATTCGCAAGATTGCAATTCAGCTCATTCGAGCCCTGCACGTGCTGCACTTGAACAATATTATTCATCGAGATATGAAGCCGCAGAACATCCTCATTGGCTCCAAGCAGCAGATTAAATTGTGTGACTTCGGCTTTGCTCGTGCCATCACGCACGATACGAGTTTGATGAAATCGATCAAAGGCACACCACTTTACATGGCTCCGGAACTATTACAGGAAAAGCCGTACAATTATACTGTGGACTTGTGGTCACTAGGTGTGATTTTGTACGAACTCGCAGTGGGAAAGCCTCCGTTCTACACTGAGAGAATTGTTCAACTCATCCAGATGATTGTGCGTGACGAGGTTGACTACCCGTCCACGATGTCAGCAGAACTTCGGAGTTTCTTGCAGGGGCTACTGAATAAGGATCCTACTAAGAGACTCAAGTGGTCAGAAATCTTGGAGCACCCATTTGTGCAGGAAACGCCGGAGCAGTTACAGATGAGGCTTCAGATTGAGAGACATGCAAGATCTCTGCCTCGCTTTTTTCGAGGAAATGAGCTGCACAAAGCCATGGTCGACGAAAATGAGGTGCAGTCCAAGCCGAGCATAGAGTGCCTGCATGCATTTGGGAAATGGACGACATGCGACACGAGTACCGGAGAGCATCACTCCCGACTACCTCATCCATGTCATACCGCAAATGGTCAACCTCTATCTGCCGACGTAATCAGCAAATGTGATCCTCCGCTATATTATGATTCTGTCGGACGGATGCACTCGGCTCTTCTCGAGAATTTTGTGGGTGTATGCGATCAGATCAATAGAGAAGTAGACACAAAGTCCGTCGACCTTTCGTTGACCAACGCCCTTAGCCTCCTCCCGTCGATCCCTAACCATTCACTTTCCAGCGGCATTTTGACGAGAATTGGATTGCTGCTCCATTTTCAGTACTGCTCATTGACGCTGAAAAAAATGTATGGCGTATTCGAGTATGAAGATGTACTCAAATCTAACGACATTATACGCCGTTTTCTGACTGGCTTAGTGATCAAAAGTGAAGAAATAATTGCCGACAAAGAGCAAGTGAGTGATGTAATTTACAAGAGTATGCGATGCTGCATGTTATGCACCGCTGCCATCAACAATGCTGGTATTGAAGTGGCGGGGCGCTTGAACTATCACGAGTTCTGCGAAGGCGATATTGACGTCATTGCGCTGGTGCTTACTAAACAGGACGATATCGTCGCCAAGTCGCATGCAAAAACGGTCAAGTGGCTTGGATCCATGATCGATCAATCCCGAGATATGACGACGCTTCTAACTGTTGTCTGCACGTCAAGATTAATCCAGAATCTGTGCAACATTTTGCATGCGTCACTTGCACGTTTTCCTGGGTCGGAAAGTGCTACAAAGGAGAAGCGTTTGCTTCCGTATGTGCTCCTCGCCCTAGCGACTCTTGTTCAGCCTTATGCAAACTGTTGGGACCCTGTGAAGCTTTTTCCTATGATAAATTTAGTGCACGATGATGGTGTCCCACTGGAATCCAATAATTTGCAAGACGTCAAGCGCGCGCATGAACTTCGCGTTGAAGTACATGCAGAAGTTGGCTCTCAGCTTTGTGACTGTGGAGCAAGTGAATTAGTTGAATTACTCGAAAATGAAATTGGTGCTCGTGTGCGACCGAAGGTTGGCAATGGTGACGATCCAGACAAAAGTGATGAAACTGAAGATGCAGCTGCTACCCAATCTATTATCTACTGCATCCTTAAGATCTTGGCGCACGCATGTGAAGCATCTTCTTCTCTGTCTAAAAAGCTGATAGCTACAAAAGATGTTTTCCAGAAACATTGCGACACAGACGTCTTATCAGTTGTGCTGAGGGGAACACAATCGAAATGTCTGCGCCCGATAGAGCAACATTTTGCAACGGAACTGTTGACATTCATTTTACGACAGGAGATTTTATCAAATCGACAGACATGGCGCTGCGCACAAACGTTGTTTCCACAGTTTCTAGGTGCACGTGATGTTGTGTTGCTAAGTACGCTGTGCGCGTTTTTCGCCGAAGTGATGAATACCTGCAATGTTGACAAGTCAATAGCCAGCATTGTTGGTGATACCAATGCATCCAAACCTCATGAAAAGGAAGTGTGGAATCTCGTCGTTCATGGAGCCATTACGCAGCGCGTCGCTGACGCAGTATTTCGTTTATTCAACACAAACATAGCGGATTTTGTCAAAAGATCAAGTGAGACTCACACACTTACGTGCCACAACTTTCGAGCGCAAGGAGTGATGGATTCAGGCGTTGTGTTACTTCTGCGGGTCGCAGTCAAGGCATTGTCACAGGCAGAGGAGACGAAAATGTTTTTGGCTGTATTAGAGCACAGCCGTTTGTGGGATGTTTTTGACCAAATGATGGCTAATGGCGGCAACAATTTATTGTCATTTTGGGGGTTGGTTTCTTTTCTAAAACTCTTGCGAATTATGTTGGAGCTGCAATACGATGTGGCTCAAGTAAGAATTGCGGTCAACAGACATGTGTTGCCACATTTGATAAACCTGCTCGATCTCGAGCATATCAAGTGTCTTATCTTTTGGCCAGAGGCGGCTGGAGGAGGAAGTAACGCCGTGAGAGCGCTTGTGCACGCTACTATTAAAGTTCTTGGTGTCTCACTTGCACACAACAAGTCGGAGGAGCTGCTTATTAGCACGCACGAGATTTTGTACAATGCAAAATGTTTACCAAAACTTCTTGGCATTCTTCAGTTTGTTTGCTCGACGGAGAGTGCGCAGTTCAAGATGTCTGCACTAGAACTACCAACGAGTTTCCTGTTGCATTTAGTCACAAGTTCCAAACGATTTGCCTCACAATTCGTGGAAAACAATGGCATACGTGTTATCAAAGAATGTGGCATGCTGGGCAGTCGATGCTCATCATCACTTATTGTCGATACACTGTCGATCGTCATCCAACTAGCCTGTACCTCCGAGGCCAACTGCAACTACATTCGGACGGCAGATCTATTCTCGGAGCTTGGCCAGATGCTTGAGCACCCAGAATCAATGGTTAGAACAAAAACCTTAGATTGTATTGGTAACTTGTGTCGCCACTCAACAACGTTTTACCAGCGCTTTGCCATACCTTTTGCTGACTCTCCGGCCAGCAAAACAATTCTAGACTTAATCATTCGTGGGCTCTCCGAACCCCACGGCCACGTTCGACGGTCCGCATGCTTTGCCATTGGTAACGCAGCATTCCATAGTGATGATCTCTATCACTTACTTCGATCTGCAATTCCTGCATTGGTCCAAAATCTTCATGATGACGACGACAAAACGCGAGCGGATGCGGGAAGGGCTCTAGGTAATTTCGTTCGGAATTCCAATAAGCTTTGCGGAGACCTCTGCGCTTATCAAGTGCCTTCAGAGCTGTTGAAATTGGCTATGGTAGAGACCAGTCTACCTTCACGTCAAAGTATACTCTTTTCTTTAGGCAACTTGTGCTTCTATCCGAAATGCGTCGAAGTCTTCGCTAAAGCAGAACCAAACTTTACCAAAAACCTGGAGCATTTTTACGATGAAGTGATTGGCGATGAGGAGTCAAGACGTAACATTCGCCGTATTATTTCAATGATTGAGACGCCGGACGCCGAAGGTAAGGGAAACGAGTCACAACACAAACACGAGTGAGGCCTCACTTTCTTCGTCCTACTTCATGAAATACTGTTTCCATACAGGAGCTGAGGTGTAACACAGCATCTACTCATTATACTGATTACTGATCCGGCCATCGACACAGGAAATTTCTTGCAAGAAATGCTTTGCCACAGGATTGAGAATCTAAATTTAAATACCGAAAAGGCCATTAGTGCAACGATACGAATCCAAAAACTTGTTACGGGCGATGTCCAAACACAAACTGAAGCAAATGACAGCCAGTTTATTGTGGATCTATCCTTGTCGAGCAATGAGCCGCACGCTGCTAATTAGCCGCATGCTTGTGTTCGAGTTTGTACTAAGTTCCGTACGTCCTTTGTTTAGACCGTTAAAGTTCGATTACGTGCTGTAACGCACGGAGTCTAATGCTACATAGCAACGGATATACCTTCCTGGATGCAGTGATTGTGATAAACTTGTAACTTTGCTTATGGAAAATGAAGACGTGAGATAGCGAATGATAGTGTGACAACATTTCGGAAATTCTGACACAACCTACGGCAAACGCGTGATGCTGCAAGTACGAGCACGTATCATAGTAAACACTATCAGGAACAGATTAGATACTTTGCCACAAGGTACCCGGCGCTTGTCCCTATTTTTTCTTGCATGCTATAAATCATGCATAATAATGAGTTTGACGCGTGCATCATCAGACTTGCTTTGCGTCCGTAATGTAGAAATTAATGTTGCGATATGAACGTATCGTGTACTCAAATGTCGCTGATCTTTGTGCCACCAACACCTGCCGAATGAAGTGTTCACTGCAACAGTCATTGCCTTCCAATTAGAAGCGACCGAGTTGTCCACAGTACACCGTGCCTAACATGAAATGTTTTCAACTTCAAGTGTTCACTCGGCAGAGCTTGTCTTTGTATTGACTAAACAATGCCCAGACGGTTAACTCATGTTCAAAGTTCGTTAATCTGTTCGTGCATACAAAATATCGTATAAAAAAGATTCACGTCGTACCGACCTTGCCTGTCCTCCGAAGCAATTTGGGCCCTGTTAATAAGGACTACTGGCTAATGGTATTGAGTTTCATGTAAAGCCATTTTCAAAAGCTCAGAAAGAGCTGCAACAATAAATAGAAAAAATGGCGACATGCGTAGAAGTTTTACAGCTTAGCACAAAATGACACGAACAGCGGACTAGTTGTTTGATAATAAATATGACCTTTGCTTCTTTGGTTTAGTGTGGACTGCCCACCTATAATGGATTGCCGAAATGCAAAAGGTGCTTTAGTTTTTACCTGATCTTCGGCCCACAATCGAAAATATCGTAACGGAATTCCTTCGCATTAAGACGACATTCGTAAACGCTCCATGGGTACTCCTTGGCCACAATAGAGGATGCTTTATTCACTGTTACAAGTAAGAAAAACTTCACAAGTAATCTAATACTGCCCGCATGAATATACCACAATTGATGCCACTATGCAAGACAGTGTTTGTGCGATTGAATTGGACAGCACTTGACAACGCAAGGTATGGACACTGCTAGTATTGCTATTTCCAGCATACTCGAGCAGATTTAACGCCTGTAATACCTTCACGTGCTTTGCAGCCTTCCGACCCCGATGGTGACAATTGAGTGAGCTGACGCAAGCAGCAAACAACGCAAACCACGAATTGCTTGCGCAAATACTTGCCTGACTGGTGCGCAAAAACGGCACCTCATTCCTAGATCGAGCCCAAAGACAATTTTGGCAAAAGTGGCATATATTCATAGAATACCACTTTATGGTGGCCTACTTTTGTTTGATGTACTTGATAAACTCGAAAGGTGAGAAGTTATGTCATTTCCTCTCTCGATAGCAGAAAATGGTTTCTTCATTTGACAGGTCATCAACGTCAATCAATTGTGTGTCGTCGACCTTACTTTGCTGTTGGCAGCGTTGCCAAGCAAGGTCATCACCATCCTATGTCTGCCTTCCTATCATGATTTCGTTTGACACTTCAACAAGAAGCTTCAGCACACAACAATCAATCGGCCTTTTGCTTAATTCACACACGATACACAAATCGTTTCTCAGCCACGACCCACCCGAAATGGTACGAAAATTTATATAGCTCGATAAAGTTCTCTGTACTAGTTCACTTATGCTACAGAGCGAGTTCCAGAGATTTATGCCGCGCGGCCCTTCGGATCACCCTGGGGTGAACTGCGAGTACTCTGACTCAGTTTGAACTCTTTACAGGACCCGTACCCCTCATTACACCATGGGGATTTTCGGCCAGTAGGGTCTCCAGCCCACCCAACTGTCACACGCCTTGCGCGGGTTGGCAGGGCGGTCACTTTTGCGTGGTTGCTTGTCCACTATATCGGCCAATCTCCGGCGCCCTGTAATCGAACCCCCACCGGGTATCAATCCAGGTACCTCCCGGCCCCACTTCCAGTGGTCTACCACTCGGCCACTGAGGTCGGTAGCGCTAGGTCCATAGCTTTTTCATTATTGGTCATTGTGTAAAAGACAAAATTGATGAGATGTGGTGATAAAAAGGTTGATTGCGGTGTATTTTCCCTTTGAGGGAATACGATGTTTGTAGAAACGGGTCTTTAGAGAACAAGATCACTTTGCAACACGCTCATCCATCTATTCACTCGGGCGGGTACGCCGACGAGGCCTCATTCATGGGTTTGACACGTTCCTTCGTGCTCTTATGCTGCACAGTAGTGGGCGCGCCACATTATGGGACAACAAGCCGTCTCGAACGACTTTATAGGTTTTATAGTGATTGTCAATTGGCCTTGAGTAATTTTACTCACACCATCGCAAGCTTTGATGAGCAAATTATCCAGAGCGTTAATCAAAAGTCTTGCTCCTTAAAACCAGGCTAACCACGCAGATATTTGGCTGCTCCAGCCAAAAAATAAGGGGAAATTGTTATTTCCACCACACTTTTTACCAATTCCATCACACTTTTTACGATTTCCACTACACTTTTTGCTATTTCCACTACACTTTATTAGTTCCACTGCACCGAAACTTCTATTTGAGTAGTTATCGGCGCACCATACCACATTACCGCACAGCCACACGCTCTTGTGTACGGATAGTAGGAAACTATACCAGCCGTAACGTCGATATAAAGTGTGGAAATAAGTCGAAAGAAGCAAATTTGTTTACTTTTCAACACATAATTATCTGTCCCTTGCTGTCCCTGGTGCTTTCGGTAGCCGCTCTCGAGTTTGCAGTCCATAATTCACGCCATTCCACATCGTTGTACATCATGATTTGCTCAAGAGAACACTATCCATTGCTTTGGCATCTGCTCAAAAACTGGATGACAAGCTCAGACCAATGCGTATTCGCCAGTGCTCACCACGAGAGAAACAAGCGACGTCTAGTTCAAGGATGAAGAGTGAGACAAGGCAATGAATCGAAGAGGGGTGTATCGTCACTGACTATGTTACGAGTACCAGGAAGACGCGTACGCGGCAAGAGCGACATGTATTCAATACTGAAGATGCGACACCACATACGGCGGTGATAAGTATCCCATTAGATGCGACGCTCACGGCCCAGCCTCTGCAAGAGACTGCCGCGTTGCAAAAGATTGCGTTCTTCTAACAGCTTTTTTTCGAGCGAGAGGACGATCAAAAGCTCTTGCTATGCTGTAAAAGAATTTTGTGCGAGTCAGCAAGTCCAAGTTGTCTGAACACATCAAATTACTTCATCAGACGTATTTTAATCCACACTACATTGACAGACAGAACGGAAGTCACTAAAAGGCAGCGACATGTTTGTTTTGTTGCTCAGAAGATCGAACGGCAAGTCGCGCACGACTATGAGAAATAAATGGAAATTGCATCAACCGATCTTTTTAAAATCGTCACTGGCGTTTTGTGGCAGTTTGAGAATGCGCTGATTGAAGATCGTCGTTGAGGGCGGGTGTGGGTGAGATGTTATGGTTCGGTCGTGTGGCATGATGCACCTGTAATTATTCAAACAAAAGCTATGGTGTAATGGAACTAGTAAAAGTGTGGTACAAATAGTAAAAAGTGTGGTGGCAATGACAAGTCTCAAAAAGTAACTATGGAGTGCCTTCTAAGCATCATCTCACGTGGCATTTCGACGCTTGGCTCATCTTGCATGGAGTGCAGCTACGGGCGTTGCCAAAAATGCCACGTTGCTATGCAGAGAGAGTCCTCGCATCACATTCTTACCTGGAGCGAAAGTAAGACGACGAAATCTTAGTTTATGCCTATTACTTCATTTTCATTCCGATAAACATACCACAAACAGAAAGTTACGCTTACGCGAGCGGCCAATGACATCCTGCCAGACGTAGCAGGGGAAGAGCTAAACAGCAGCAAGTGAAAGACCAGCCAGCATCAAGTGAGACAGCATGTACGCAAAGAGCAGTGGTATTGCCCTTTTCGGCGTTTTGTGTGCATGGGTTCCCAGTGCCTTGTCGCAGCTTGACATTGATTTTGGGAAGTTTATAAGCGCCTGACACTGCCCTTACGCTTTGAATCTGACTCCGTGCACTCGCATTGGAAACATAAACCGCTTGCAAGTCGAAACGAGTCCACTAAAATCGAGCTCAGCTGCTATAGCAAAGGGTCCACGACACCATGCAGCTAGCAAGTGTTTCTCACTAGCTGATGAAAAGTAAATAAAAAGAAAAGGATGTCTCGGAGCTGGCGCGGGGTCCCCTCCTTTGAAGTCTGGCTGCGTCACTTCAGGATGGCGTTTCATCGAGACCAAGAGTACATCAGCTCATATTGTAGATCCCATTTCCTCATCGCATTTTCAACGATGGTGCGTCGGTTGATAGAAACCGTTCCGTACACTATTCGATGGTGTTTCTAGACATAAGATGTACTCGTACGTGCCGGGTTCCCCTTTGGCCTTTTGTGCCTATACTCCCGTTGCCAACGTATTATTGTCGCCCTAGATAGGGTACGAAGGAGTTGTGGTATCAGAGAGCATTTGCGCAAAGTATGTGCAGCAAGCTCTGGACCTTTGAGTTGTTGCTTACTTATAGAGCTTCGTGGTGAGAGCTCGACGTGCAACGCGAGGTATCCATGCAGATACAACGAAGCTGGCATCTTCTTTGAGGTTGCCAATGAGTGAAAGCCGACACATTAGCAGTATAGCAGAGCAGTAACGTTTCGCTCACATCAACCCGAAGGATGCAAATGCTGTTCAGATACATCTCATGGACAGCCATGGTCATACAGAGCAAGCAACAGCACCATGAGAGTCTGATAGGATAAAGGGTGAGCCTCAAAGCCCCGCGGTCACTCATGAACATCAGTTCAATCGAATGACTTGCTTACATACAACAACACTCTGCTGGTAACAGGCACCCAGTATTTCAACATAAAAATGGTGAAAGCCGCGAAAGGAGTGATCTCTATCTCACGATCTCTATGACTGCAAACGTTACGTGAGACCGTAGTGGATCTCGCGTACGTGATCATCGCAAGCTGACGTGACGTTTCGCAGCTCCGTGCAAATTTATGCGGACAGCTTGATCCCTCACTTGACCAACTAGCTCCTGGTTTACATGCACCCGTGACGTGTGTAGCTCGACATAACGACCGTCAGTATGGGGTGTGGAACGACAGGACGTTTCACTGTGCAGCATTACGTGGACCTGTGCCCAACCTTTACTGCAGCCAAGACACCAAATCCGCAATGCAAGTCTCGTATCAGGCAGCCTCATTCTTTGCAGCTTTGCTGCAAACAGGAGAGTGCCTTAACAGGAAAAAGACGCGTTTAATCCAAGGTGCAGTTGGCTGCTTCAACATCAGACAGGGCTTGCCGTACATCTCTTCTGCACAACGCGGCCACATTCGGTATCTTCAAGGATCGCCTGATGGAGAGTGTAGTACCCCGCCACCTTCCGTTTCTCAAGCTCGCTGTAGTCGTTGGAACAGATGCAATGAAGCTCTTGAATGGAGCCCAACAGCTATGCAGAAGTGGGTGACAACAAGTCGTACGCTGGAATGTACCAAACACGTCGGAAGCTCGTAGGTAAATCATAATAATCATTGCAAACACCTTTGCATCGCAATGCGTCGACACCATCACCGTTCTACAGGTGCAGTACGTCTACAATTGCTTGTAACATATTGACGTGTCCACTACGATGAAGTAAATCCCCAAGCTACTGCATAAGTCCGGCACAAAATGGCATCACGTTCGTGACCCATGGGTCCAAACATGTCGTTTGTTTCGAGCCCCGCATTTCGATGACGGCTTAAAGCAGTAACGCGTTTCTATACTTCAAGCGCGAGTTACTAATCCTCGTTACGCCAACTATCCATCCAAAAAATGAGAAGCAGCCGGCCGTCGGCACCCAATTCGCGACCGCAACTCCATGAATGTGTTCAGCCTCTACCGTCCCCTCGCCTCACCTCGCCAAGTAGCTCAAGAGTCGCTGCTTAACCAAGAAGAAAAAGAAGGTGACGTCGACTATCGGAAAAGCACCTAAGTATCGTAACTGTAAACACTACCCATCTCCGCGTCGTTCGTTACAACCAACCTCTTCTTGTCCCACACAACAACAAGGGCAATACCAACACTACCAACAATACCAACAACAACCAACCACATCCCGCATTCTCCAACCCGCTTCTTCCCGTCTCAGTCCGTATCGTCCTTCCTTCCTTCCTTCCTTCGTTCATTCTCTCTTCTCCTTCGTCTCGCCTATATCATGCCATCCACGGAAGTTGTGGCTCCCGACACGCTTCGCCTCGATGTCTCGAAACAGTCCTTAACCCCTTCGTACGTCAAAGTGGCGCCAGCTAAAAGCAGCGGCAGCAGTACGAGTCGTAGCAGTGACGAGAGCTTCCAGTCCGACTCCATCCCGGGTGACGATACGGCCGACGTCGCGTCCCTTACGCCCTCAACCCTCGAGTCCGACGACCTACCACCACCCCCTTGCTCAGTAGACAACCAGCAGCAGGTCAAATCCAGCAGTAGCTTCGACCTCCAGGACCTGACAATGTCTCACCTGCGGGACAGCACCTTTCGTGACAGCACCTTTCGTGACAGCTTAATGCCTCGAAATGGCTACGGCGAGTCCAATGGAGCAGCAGGACGAGCGACTGAAATGGGCAACGCCCTCATGCGTCTGGACGAGGGGTACCGTCAGGCCTATCAGAGCACGTCGAGACTCTCTTCCAGCTCGACTTGTGAAGGTCTGACGCCGTTGCTCCAGGCCGCCAAAGCAGGCGATATCGTCCTGGTGAACGCACTTGTGATCCAAGCGGGCACGGACATCCTCCGACGGGACCCGGTGTTTGGCCAAACGGCTCTGCACTTTGGCATTCGAGGAGGCCACTTGAACGTCGTGCAGGCGCTTCTGATGCCGCAACTGCGGGACTCGATCGTGAACGTTGCGGACACGCGACGGAACACGGCGCTGCACTTGGCAGCCGCCAAGTCCCGTCGCATGACCAACTTGCTGCTGGAATCCGGCGCCGAGGTGAATTTCCTCAACATGCGGAACCAAACAGCGCTCGGGGTGCACATTTTGACGGTCACGAGGGACGACCCGACGATGACGGAGATTCTACTGCAGCACGGGGCGAATGCCAATGCGCCCGTGGACAAGTCGACGATTTTGCACGTGGCGCTCGATAAAGGACTGACTCGGATTGCGACGCGGCTCATGCGTCATAACGCACGGCTGGACTTGAAGGACGAGGCAGGCAAGACGGTGTTTGATAAGGTGGACCGGTCGATGCTGGAGACGCTCATGGCCAAGGTGGGGCACCCACCCGTGTGGGTACCTGATAACGACCGGGTCGAGTGCATGGAGTGCCGCAAGAAATTCGGCAGCTTGGCCTTGCGTCGACACCATTGTCGGATGTGCGGCCGGGTCCTGTGCTCGAGCTGCTCCACTTGTCGCGTCAAGAAGCTGCCGTTCTCGACGAGTGGACGTGGCAAGAAGAAGAGCAAGGCTGACAAGGGGACAGCTAATGCTCGGGCGTGCAAAATGTGCTACGATATCTGCGCGAAAGGAGAGCTGGAATCGTCCTCGTTGAACAAGGAGGGATGCGGATCTCTCTCGAGTACCAAGTGACGCGATGCAGCTACTTGACGCGAGTGCGAAGAGGTTGGTTGTGGTTGTTTCGGCTACTTTGACCAGTCTTTGACGTCGACGCTTTCGGCCTGGGGCCGTCATTCTCGAGGTGGGCATCGGATCTTTTCTCTATCCCATTAGGCGCTTCCAGAAGGATGGAAGACGCTGGAGGAAGGTATCGGTTGTTTTCTTTCTCTCTCTCTTCTCTCTTCTCTTTGCATGCACGAGTTAGTGCATGGCATGGTGGACGCAACAGTGACAAGACACTACTTTCTAATATATATTACGGCATGCATACATACCGACAAAAACCTGGTTTGACACTAAGCTGCTCGTTGGTTCAAGTGATGATAGCCTGCAAGTATTGCATCAGCTGGTCCAATCCTACTCGTCGACAGGAGCGTAGTAGGTCTTCGAGTTCTACCCCTTCCTTCTAACAGTAAATTGCTATTTTTAGGCGTTAGAAACGCTCGTAACTTTGGCATGAAAGGTAAATTGCGGGGCTAATTTTGTCTGAGATCGTCAAGCATCAGTATCTTGTGCCGTCGCTAGTGCCAGCTGCAAATTCACAATCAGTCATTCTTTGATGGTAGATTATTTCATCGCTGGTTATGCGTGTCACGTCCTAGCAATCTAGAGCCACAGTGTCGAGTACTCGTTTTTTTACATGCGAGTAGAGAGCGGTCTACTCGTCTCTATCTGCTCTCGTATTCCATGTTGAGGCAACACAAGTAAATCGTCATTATGCTGATGAACTATGCTTTGTAGCGTGAGACTTGTCATAGACCCCGCTAGGCCCTTCATCGACATTTTCATTGCAACACGTCGAGTTGCATAGGTAAGTGACATTGTAAGATACTGCCACAAGTATTGGACCATCCTCGTGCAGCACGAAGTAACTATAAGCGAAAGCCCGTTCCGGAAGAGCAAAAACGCAGTTCAGACACAGATTAACTCAACGCGACTTCAAGACGATCGCAGAAAGCACTGTTGACGGCTTGGCTTAGCGGCGCATCAATGTTAGTGGTCTTTAGACAAGTGTCTTTGGTATCGAAACCAGGGATTTTGCAGGTGTCTCGACGACAAACATCCCTTTGTAACGGGTAAACATATAGCCAAGGAGCTTTGCAAATTAAAGCTTGATTGAGCTAACATTTACCCTTCCACGTGAATTTGAAACATTGCTTGCAGAATTAGTCTACGATACTCGCAGAAAAGGTATGCTGAAGCAGTTTCACTCCCAAGACGCTTGCACGCCGCATCTTTGCTGGCGACATTCCCGCCTCAAGACTAGTTTCACCATCAGAGATACCAGTCACTCCTGTGCAGAGTGTACATGAATGAACGCCAAGATCACTTTGTGACTAGCACGCGCTTTTTTGACCCACAGTAGCCATTGGAACTGAGTCTGAACACAGCATAGAATGTAGCTTGAAAATCGCAATTGGGGCAACTGTATCATCAACGATGCTCTCTGTAATAGGTTAGATGCGGTTATAATGACGTGCCACAGGACGTTCAGTTGCACAAATATCGTGTGCACTCTGCGACGTATTACAATTACGGTCTGCTCAGATATTCATCACACTGTGCGAACTATGTAGACTTGTAGTGCTTTAAAAGAGAGATAGGAATCTTGTGACAGCTTCGTCAGCACCAATTTTGCAATCACTGTCCGTCTCCGTGACTATGCGCGTCTTGTGTCACTTGAACACTAGAAGACGGACTCGGATTATGATCAGCAAATAGCCTAACCTATTTTCAGTAGCTGATATGATGTCTGCAATAGACTACGGCTTACTATCCCATCTCTTATTGGTCGAACCCTTATATAGCAAGGCTTGTGGTAGTAGTGGTTGGTAATTGGTGGTTCAATTGCGGCTGAAACATTCAGGTTATTCGTGTTTTTGCTTGTTGTTTTATTTCTAATTTACATTCTTCTCACCGATTTCGATCAATTTTCAGCGACCGAAGACGTTCTGATTCGACGCGGTGGTGTCAGTGATATGATAATTTCTTGCATTTTGAACGTGCAGTTATCGTTAGAGCACATTGCAACAGCTATTTTAATTGTTACACAAAAGTGGATACTAGATATAGAGTGCTGTTGAATACACCCCGAAGTCACCCCACTTTTAGCGAAAAGACCCCATTTACCACACCACAATACGATTTGTACGACAAATACAGTGCTCTTGTTCCTCTGTACGACCGCTATCACACGGCAATCGTCCATCCTATATTAAGCAGGTAATTTACCTACCTCTCTTATTTGACAGGTAATGGACTGGTCCTAACGCAGATCCAGGATAGACTAGACCAAAATTATATACAGCTGTGATTACAGGGTAGCCCGTTTCATTGTACAGACACCAAACGGTGTCAATAGAGAGATTGTCTAGCGTGACAACCTCCTTCCAATGTTACCCGACATAGGTAATATCGAAGGATAAACATCCCTCCTAGGATAACATTTATGTGTTGCTCAAGGATTGGTTGGCAAAAGACACATCAACCAAGGTTACCACCAACCGCTGCTAGACGCGCGTAATGAGTGGTGAGCAGGTTGTCGTCGTACGACAATATAGATTAATATAGTTGTATGAAGATTGAAGTTGTATTGATAGCTTAACTATGTTAAATACAGTTCTTTTTTTTCTTTACTCAACTTAGCTGTTTGCGTATATTAGCTTCCTCTGCACGGACTAGTGTACGAGAAGTTTCGTGGCACCTAAACAAAGGGTGTCCCTTTACACCTGATAGCACTTTGTAGTCTGTCCAACGACAACTTAGTGTCTGTCCAACATGAACATGTTGGACGTAGAAGACGACAGCTTTCACGTCACACGTGAAGGCTACTCCCATCTGAGTGACTCAGAAACGGAAGTTGGACGGCCGCATTAGTGTGCTCATGGGCGAACCCGCCATCAGTGGCATGTTGAAGTCTCTAAGCAGAGACCAGCAACATGCTGCTATCAACAAGTTTCTACAAGGGGAACTTGCCGACGAAAGACAGAAGAAACCATTGCTAAAACAACAAAGCTCTCATCAATCGATAGGCGGGCCGACGCACATGCTTCAAACCCGAAACATTGAAGATCGATATCTCAAGGTACAAGAAAACCGATGGAGATTCCCTTTTGAAATGGTTCGTCGAGAAATACGATGCCATCAAGGCCCATCACATCGAGGGTAACGAGATGCAAGTCATCTTCGCCCTGTCAAATTTGACAGGACGAGAAAAGCCTTGGGTCTTAGGGCTCATGCTTTACATACCATATGTGTTTGAGTCGTTAGAGATCTTGAAGTCTCGGCTCAAAGAAACGTTTGAACCGCCAAGAGCCGAGTTCGGAGCACGCTCTGCACCTCTGAGACCCAAACAGAGTAATCTTGATGTGCACGCTTATGAACAACACCTACTCTACCTTGCGTGTAGCGTCACAGAATATCCTGTTGATGAGCATACGCTCATCAACGTGTTCATGTACGGTCTTGAAGATGGGCCGGTGAAGACCTACATGTTCCAGGAGGACTTCATACGCTAGAAAAGGCGATTGCGTATGCGACACAGGAGGACTTTAACCTGGGTAGTCTCAGGCTCACTCGTCAAATTACTGTCCGACGAGACAACAGAAAAACCGGGGATCCCGAACCAGTGGATCTTTGTTATATCTAGAGCGAGAATCCTTTCTCTCTCTGAGTCACAAAAAAACAACAAGATGCCATCGCTGTCGGAAGATTGGACACTACGCTCATCAGTGTAGTGTCCGGAGCAACGCGTCACGTCCAAAGACAGGAAGTGACGACCGCCGTTGGCCAAGTAAAGGTCCGAGGCGTGGGCCCGACCATGTCGCTAAGCCGCGACAGCAAGTCTTACCGTCAAAAAACGGACAGGGTCAGTAGGGGCGGAGCGCCCTGCTCATCCGGAAACGCCAAGAGAATTTGCAGGACTCTTGACGAAGATTGCTCCCAACACCAGTCGCTGTGTGTGTTACTGCCCTTAGTGGTGAGGAGTCTCTCATCACTTTGAAGATCGAAGTGACAAGTGGAACGTCACCTCGCGCCCCAGTTGACTGTGGGGCGTCGAACAATTTCATTCGACGCCAGTAGCAAGGGGATAGTAGGCTCAACTATGTTGAGCGAGAGTTCCCTCCAACAAGGATGACGGTGTGCCTTGCTACAGGCGCATCCGCAACAGTGAACAAACGTGTAGTGGGAATCCACTACACGCTGGAAGGAAACCTTCATCGTATTAGATTTGGATGAAAAATTTGATGTCATCCTTGGTCTGCCATGGCTTAGAAAGTACCGGCCATGGGTTAGCTGGCAGCATCGATCCGTGAAGATGCCTGCCGTTTGTTCATCAGATGGACATCTGATAGACGTCTTGGAGCTTCCTCAAGCGTGTGGATGTACTACTAGTGAGTGCGATGGCCTCACTTGTGGTACGGTCGGTAGTACGATTGCACAAGATCACAGTGTAGAAGGCCACTACACTGTAGAACGAGCTTCCGGCACCTGTGTAGAGGCACAGGCTGCGACAAAGATTCACCACTCGAAGAGATCGAGTGGACAGGAACACGGATGCACACCAAGAAGGGTGCAACCAAGAAGAGAGATCAGTGTTTTTCAAGATGAACAACACGTTACAGCGAGATGGACCAACAGAGAGTCGATCGTAGAGTAAGCCCGATCGACTGAAAGAGAGTCGATCGAAGAGGACGTGACTACGGTAGTACAACCACAGTCAGAACACGTATTGGAAATAGATTCCAGAGTTCCTGAGAGTGTTAACTCCCGAGAGAGTTATGTTGAGGGTGTATATCCCCAACCAAAAGCGAATGTGTCTTCCAGAAAAGTTCTGAGACAGTGAATGTCTTAATGAATGACAAGTCAAGAGTAGGCGATTATACACTTGATCTGGCTATACCTCCGAAGTCAGACTCAGAGGTAGTCAAGCTATCAACGCTAAAATATAATAGATTCTTGCGAGATCCGCG